TTTATTTATTTATTTATTTATTTATTTATTTATTTACTTTGCAGCAATTTAATCCAGCAGACGAACAGGAATTTTCTGCGACTCTCAACAACTGGAGCGAGGTCAGAGAAGCAAACAAAACAATAAATAAAAATATAAATAAATAAACAAATATAAACAGATATAAATAAAAACATAAACAAATAGATAAAGAGTAAAAATAAATGAATTCATCAAACACACAAGACAAGAAAAGAAACGAAGAGGTAAAAGTAAAAATGCAGATAAAAAACTTAAAGAAAGACAAATAATAATAATAATAATAAATAATAATAAGACAAATACAATGATATGAACTCTTATATTAAAATATAATACGACATAAAAATAATATAATATTATTAAACGGGGATTAAAGGAAAAGAAAGAATAAACTTTAATTGTTTAAACATTTAAACAAAACAAAGAAAATGAATATTTATATCTTCAGGCTTATTTGCGTCTGAGCGAAGAAACTGCAGCAGAAATATGGAGACAGCAGCAACTCTCTCATTTGTCTATTTAACTTGTTTAATTTATTTAATTGTTTTCATTTATTTAATTGTTTTTATTATATATTAAGTTAATTGTTTATAAGATATTTATTGTTTGTATTGATTTGTACTGCTTGCCTTCGTCGTTTTATTTAGTTATTTTCTCTTACTTTCTCTCCGTTTTTACTTTTCATATTTATATTTATTTGAATATTTATGTCTATCCAACTGCTAGTATTTATTTAATTTGTTTATTAGGGTGTAAGTCATTTTGTTGTCTATATTTAAAGTATTTGCATGCAATGTCTGCTGCAGTTTCTTTGCTTAGCCCTTTACGATATAAATATTCATTTTCTTTGTTTTGTTTAATTATTTAAACATTAGGGTTTCTTATTCGTCTTCCTTTTGTCTCTGTTTTTTTATTGCTTGTATTTTCAATTGTTTGTCTTTATGTAATTGTTTATATATATATAATACAATGTCTATACTATATATAATATGTAGTATATACAATATACATA